ACACATACACATACACATACACATACACACATGTACACATGCACACACAAACACGCACACACACACACACACACACACACACACACACACACACACACACACACACACACACACACACACACACACACACACACACACACCACACACACACACACTACACATACACATGCACACATAAACACACACACACACGCACACACAGACACACACACACACACACACACACACACACACACACACACACACACACACACACACACACACACACACACACACACACACACGTGTATATATATAGATAGATATGTAGATATATACACATACACATACACATACACATACACATACACATACACATACACATACACATACACATACACATACACATACACATACACATACACATACACATACACATACACATACACATACACATACACATACACATACACATACACATACACATACACATACACATACACATACACATACACATACACATACACATACACATACACATACACATACACATACACATACACATACACATACACATACACATACACATACACATACACATACACATACACATACACATACACATACACATACACATACACATACACATACACATACACATACACATACACATACACATACACATACACATACACATACACATACACATACACATACACATACACATACACATACACATACACATACACATACACATACACATACACATACACATACACATACACATACACATACACATACACATACACATACACATACACATACACATACACATCCACACACACACACACACACCACACGCACACACAGACACACACACACACACACACACACACACACACACACACACACACACACACACACACACACACACACACACACACACACACACGTGTATATATATAGATAGATATGTAGATATATATATATATATATATATATATATATATATATATATATATATGTATGTATGTATGTATGTATGTATATATAAGATTTACGTATTATGAACACAAATAACACAGTAACGTGTATGTGTATGTGTTTTGTGTATAGAGAGATAGGTATAGATATTAGTGCATGTATGTGTTTTCTTCTTTCACTCTTTTCCATGCGTGAGACTCAACACGCGATTTAAGCTTAGAGTAGGTTGGCTTAAATATGCTTCGCGTATGTTATTTCCTTCTTTAACATATTGTTCTTGGTGCCTGTTGCCGTTTTAAGATACTAGTTTGGTGTTTAGTTTTAGCCGATTATTCAGTTTTAGATCCTTACCCCTATGTATTTGTTTTAAGTCTACGGATCGCACATGCCATGTTTAAGTATCTTGCATATGTAATGTTATGACCATGCATTAAATGTACCACAGCTTGCCCACGCCTGTGCAGTTAGCCAAGGTGGTAAATAAAGGACTAAACTAATTGCATAGCTTTCAGACCACCTAACATGAGGTATAAAGAACTATGTGAATATTTCATTTTATCTGATACATTGGAAGATATACACGTATTATATCCTCAATTTACTATGTAAAACTGCCGTAAACAAAAACACAGTGTTATGTAAACACAGTGGCAAAAGCATAACAACGTATTATTTTTGTATGATGTATGACATATTTCTATATTACCATGTACAATTACAGTAGTCACAGACTACTGTACTGTGTCAGATATATGTAAAACTGTAATCATGATTGCCCACGCCTGAGCAGATAGCCAGGGTGGTAAATAAACTTACTTAACTTAGATTAGACGAGTTATTTAGTAGAAGTCATGGTATAGCCTGGTTACCGGTCATGTATGCGACATTGTTGGCTAAATCGTAGGCTAACGTTAAAAATAAAAATCTTATATCTTCAAACAAATCATAGAATAAATTTGAATCTGGTCTTTGAGTCATGGCTGTGCAGTAGTTGCTTGAACAAGAATATATAGATAAAGTCTGCAAATGTCTTGCAAATGAATCCAAACTGAGATGGTTATAGATTAAGACGTTGCCCCTGTTTTATTTTCTTTTGTGTTTTCAATATTGAGAATTAAATTTTAAAAATCAGATGACTGTAAATTGAAAGGCAGTTACTGATGAAAGTAAATCCTTAAATGTTAACGAGATCGAAGCATGAAATATTAGAATAGTACTGTAAACATGGTAATAAAGAACTATTGATAATCTATATGTAGTTTAAAAATTTAAACATTTTATCGGTCACTGACCATTATGCTTTCATTTCTACTAAATTTGCAACTTTTGCATTATCTTACACACATTTACGAACACTAAATCATACATCCATTGAACCATAACACTTAAAAAGTACACAAACACCATAATGTCTCCGTTACGCCTCGTTTTCGGACCCTTATGTAACGTCTCAGTCCACGTATGTATCCCTACCGTAAAGCCATAAAGAATGTCGAAGAGTAGAAAGTAAGAAACGAAAACCTACCGGAGAACGAGCGACGGAATGTAGACGGACATTTGTTTGGATGTAGAAGGAAATTCAGTACAAACACTTCATCACAAGTCGTCATGCAATGTGCCTGACCTTGCCAAGGGCGGCAGCAAGGGTGTGTCAAAAACACGGTGTATTGGTGCACATAAGTTGCGTTCCACACTACTTTAATTATGCACGGGGTGGATCGGGTGGAGGGAGAGGAGGGGCGGGAGGGAGGATATCACATGACCCTCTGCCGTTGCCAGAAGTTGCTAGATTTGCGTATACGGCCCGCAGCTTCTGGATAAAGTTGTGTCGCATCTGGGAAAACCGTTATCATATCTGTGCTAATGAGTCTGTCACTGGTGCTGTTGAATTTGTTGATTATATTAATGGTGAGTATACACCCAGTACATATAAACACGTCCAACTATTTGGACATGCGTGCGTGCATGAATCATTCAAATATATTAGACAAAAATATAATATGATGAATTATTTTAATATTAACGATCCTCACTACGATTTTTTACATATCTTCCGGATAGACGGACTGCGGATATTTGACCGATAAATATTTCACCGATCGGGATTTCAGCTGAATAAGAAAGCAGCAGGAGAATCATATGAATGAACGGCTGAGCTGGCATTCAATCTAGTAAGCGACTAAACAGCTGATAGATTTGTTGTTCCTTCCAATTAATTTGTTCCTTCCAATTAATATTATCCGCAAAACAAACAGAAAGACAAGCAGTTGGTTGGAGCAGAGAATGGCAGTTACTTCCCCACCGCTTGTCGTCTAGTTTCAGAGCTAACAAAAGAGCAGCGTCTGACTTCTCTTTCCCACACTGACTGAGGAGCGGCGTACGGTCTGAGATATCTAACGTACGACTGAATTTTGTTGCTGAGAAATATGAGAAGTGTCCTTGGATCGATTGCTGGAGAAGAGTTGCTCACAATCTTCTAAAATTTAAGAGTAGTTCATCTTATGCTACCCTAAGATACATCTCATTATATAGTATATATTCTATAAAATACATCATTTGATATATTTTATTATTTAGCATGGATTTATATACATGCAAGGAAAATTTAAACGGCTTAATGTCCATTCGGTTGGATATCCGTTCTGTGAAATTTTCGTCGATGAAGAGTCGGTCGGCCAAATGCCCTTCGGCCATTTGTTCGGCCACAGCCTCGCCCTTGGACTTGCAATTCCTCGGGGGCTCGTGCTCTCAGGGAAAAGATGTGGTAAGTGAGATGAAGCAGTGAGGCTCAAATAAATTGCTTCAACTGCTGGTGTTTTGGTACAGTTATTGGCTTCATAAAATGGCCATAAAGTGCATGATTGAACATTCTAATTATACTCTTTAATCTTACTATTCTTTCACGTTAAATTTTAATATATATACAAGAAGAAACATGCGCTTCAGGGCAAAGAATTATTGAATAAAGCAGACAAGTGAGAACGCAAAATATGAAAAGTGACTCTATTACTCCTGTAAATGTCAACAATGACGTTGGGAGTCGTCTAACTTATTTTAAGAACAATAATGTATGTATCACAGTATGATGCCCCTTGTGATATGGCACAATAATTGTCATGCTTTCATAACTGGCCTGATACAGGCGATACAGACGGTACCAGAACCATCACTTTTGTAGACTTCTGTTAATGCCGTCCATTATTTTTCACTATATGTTGCTGTTATTAGGGTTGCTGTCAAGATATAGCATTAACCGGGTACATTCCCTACTGATCTTGTATTATTTATTATGAACGTTAATTTTCATAGAAGCTTAAAAACGTGTAAAAGAAAGATATGAATTTGTATTTAGTTGGTTAACCTTATGTGATCTGAGTATATAGTGTTAGTACACTTGTGATTTTAGTATACATGTAGTCATATTGCAAAGGGCGACCTGTTTATCTATGGATCAGCACTGCTCGGATCGCGTGAGTAGCTAGTCTAGTTTCAGGAAAGAGGAATGATACATACTAAGTAGCCACGGTTTGTTACTATTATCTTCTAAATACGCTCGTTACGCGTGACTTTCGTTCTGTAACAGTTTCACGAAAACTGTTTTTATTCCGGGTGGTGATGTGGAGAGGTTTATGTGAAGTTCTTTTATAGCATTTATTTATTCCAAGTTTTCGTTTTCCTTTCCTTTATTTAGTTTTAGCCTTTTCTCATAGACGAATTTAATTAAGGTCAAGTCGCTTGAGATGTGCATACTCATTTACGTCACAGCTTAGCGCAGCACTTCACTGTGACATTTTAAAAGTGCCTCAGGTTAGAAAATATTACTGTGTAGGTGGATTATGTGAGTCAGTGACGTGTATTAGTGTATGTTGGCGTGCATGTGAGGGAGTGTAATGCAGTGTTTAGTTGAGTGTGTACGTTCAATAGTGTTTGTAAATTCACAAATATTCTATGTTATCATAATACGAATCTTAAACTAAAATCTAATGAAAAACATATCGACTTGTTTTCTCCAAGTAACTCACATTTTATTCGCACATTTAAAGACATAATTTACATAATATTGTGAAGTTACGTATCCTGACACTGAGCTCATATATCAAGCAGTTTTTTTTTGTTTTTTTTTGTTTTTTCGATTACAGTATACATACTTCCAACAACAAAAGTAAACACATATGTAATTACCTATATAGCATTTGTCATACACATGTTCAACTTTATCTTTCTCTGATTATCTACAGGCGAAGCAGTCACATGGCCTTCGTGCCCATGATTTATGTCACTCAATATTTCAGCGTTATAGCATTATAGTTCAATACGAGATCCAAGAGAGCTCTCCTAACCCAGGGCGTTGGACCTCGGGCGTAGGGAGAAGATATGAACGGCTCACCATATGTCTGAGACGCTGTACTGTTGACAAAACGATTATATTGTTCCAATTATCGGCAAAACGTCCGAACTGGGCGTTTAATCCACGTGATGAATGAAGCGCCGTTATATAAATGCTCGTTTATTGTTTACAGATATACACACATACACGTATACGATTGATATACGGTTTACGTACCAACATATGTCTACATGCATATGTATTTGTGTATGTACACACACACACACACACACACACACACACACACACACACACACACACACACACACACACACACACACACACACACACACACACACACACGCGCGCGCACACACACACATACACACACACATATATGTATATATATATATATATATATATATATATATATATATATATATATATGCATATATACATATATGTATGCATATATACATATGAGTGTATGTGTGTGTGTGTGTGTGTGTGTGTGTGTGTGTGTGTGTGTGTGTGTGTGTGTGTGTGCGTGCGTGCGTGCGTGCGTGCGTGTGTGCGTGTGTGTGTGTGTGCGTGCGTGTGTGTGTGTGTGTGTGTGTGTGTGTGTGTGTGTGTATAAAGAATTTTTATTATATTATTTCATGCTTCTTTCTCCCAGATTTTTTTAGTTTAGTCCTTTATTTACCACCCTGGCTAACTGCACAGGCGTGGGCAAGCTGTGGTACATTTAATGCATGGTCATAACATTACATAATGGTATTACATTTGGATATTATCCTATAACATTGTTATGATAAGTACTTTGTCAGTTCAAAGAAAGGAAACAATTGCAGTCCTTTAACTACTCATCTGCCAAGCCGGCATATAGCTTGAGCGTGGAAAAGCATTAATACATTTGATATGCAGTCATGTGATACTACATTCCAAATTTAGGATACAACATAATTATATCTTCTAAGACATCAGATGATATGAAGTAGTTACATAGTTCTCCGTACCTCATGCTAGGTGGTCTGAAAGGCTGTAACACATGGCACTCTGAGATATAATGTACAAGTGTTCGCTTATATTCTTCATTACACAGTTTACACTTAGTTTCTTCGACATTACAAGCTGTACTGACCTGCCAATACATTCTATATCCAAGCCTGATTCTGGCAGTTACAAGATCACACTGTCTTGTTCTTGTTTTATAGATAATTATAACATTTTGTGCTCTTTTTTCCGCAGACTTCGCGTGCGCCCTGGTGTCCGACATCCTGCTGCAAGGGACTCTGTACATCACGCCGAACTTCTTCGCCTTCTACTCTAAGATCTTCGGACACGTGAGCAGGGTAAGTGGCCATCGTGGCAATGTTCCTCCCCGTTGCAGCTGGGATACGGCGGGTGTTGGTCGCCAGTTATAGTGTCGAGAACTATTCTGTTGTATGCATCTCTTAATTATAACCAGTTTTGGTTAAAAATTAAAAAGTTCGTTAATGTTTTTTATTGCATAAGTCTCGTCGTCCACTCTGATGATTAAACCTACAGATAATTGTTCATGAAGTGCACACTCGCTCTTTCTCTCATCTCCCCAACTGAAGTTACATAGTTATGCACCCATTAAATTAAACTAATCTACTCCCCGCATAGTGATCACATGCATCCGAAAAAAACATGTCATGAATCTACATGCCTACATACTTCTTTTTATTTATTTTACTTGCTCACCTTGAAGCACTCCTCTCCCCTTCTCCCTTTTCCTGAAACAGGGTATGATTGATCCAGTGATGAATAACCTTCCCTTTCATTTTTACGATTCAAAGAGATGGCAGACTATCCACCCAGTAGAGTGAGTGAGTGAGTGTGTGTGTGTGTGTGTGTGTGTGTGTGTGTGTGTGTGTGTGTGTGTGTGTGTGTGTGTGTGTGTGTGTGTGTGTGTGGATCAGTAGGACATAAAGTATGGATAAGAAGTCTGTCAGCCATTTAATGAAATGAATGCTGTCGTGTGAAGTAAACTTTTGCTAGGTAAACCATCGGTGAATAATCGCAGTAACAAAATACTCGCATAAAAACACATACTGCAGCTTAAGGGACGGAGTTATTCATTAAATATTAAGAGAGTTGCCACACAAAAATAGTAGGAACCACTGGTTAGACAGATATATGTGTGAATGAATAGATATAAGCATGTGTGTTTTTAAGGAAGAAAAGCCTAAATTTACTTTTAGTAAGCCAGTAAGTCCCAAATGTAGCTCCTCGGCCGTGGCCAAGCAGCCACTCAAGGCAGCGCCCAGCCCGCATGTGGCCGCACCAGGCGTTCTCGTGAGAGTGAGATCGATGACGCCATCGGGCGGCCTGCGCGCCCTTGGGCGGGACAATGGGCAGTCACGCGCCCATTCAAACGCTTGCGTCCTTATCAGCCGTTACATTTTACGTTAGACCGTACACGGGAAGGGGGGTATTGCACGAATGAATGTACACATACTTTTCTATCTTTAGTGAATTCAAATGCATGATTCTGGACAATGATTCGCTGAATACCAGTGATGAATGCTTACAGATTTTGTGTATGTTGCTAAATACCAAAGGCCTTTCCGGGAATAGTAATGGGATACATATGCACCCACATCCAAACACATACACACACATGCACACATGTACACATGTACATGCCAAACATACACACACATTTTGATAGATATTAATTAGGTTTCATATGACCCTGGCAAATAAATATATTTTCTTTTCTTTCTCTGGTTTTCAATGTATGGATTCATGATATTATTTTCATGGTGTTTTCCCATGCACTCTTTCCAACTAATTGAATATTTGTATTCAGTATATGCATATTCCATTCACTGCTTTCATATCAATGATATATATATATTATCCTTGTATTATCTTAAAGCCAAATGGTAACAGACCAGTTATTTACTCAGTGTCCTTGAGTTATCTTCATGATTCTGAAATGACCATTTCTGATAACTAAGGCTTCACTTCTGTAATCATTTTTATCTCTAATCATGTGGTTGAATTAAGCTTATACCAGATCTTTGTCTTTTGCTCATTAGCTACTGATACCTGTGAGTCAGGTTGCTAGTGTACAGAAAGAACGAACTGCAAAAATTATTCCAAATGCCGTTGGACTCCATATGGTGGATGGGAAGAGCTATGTGTTTGGGTCTTTGTTATCACGGGATTCCACATACAAGCTTATGAACCACATCCTGAAGAAGGCGCAGCAAATTGGAGACAGTGATAGTGAGCCGCCATCTGCTGTGCAGGTGGTAAGTATATAGGTTAAGGTATTATTAGCTGAAATTTAATAGACTTTTTATTTTTTATTGTGAGTTGTAAGATAAGCAGTTACATTCCCTAGCTTATTTGGCTAACACAATTTTCTGTATGGTAGAATAATATTGATATATATATCCATTGATGTGAAATAAATTTATAATTTCTCCAAGGAATGATGGTGTAGTAGTAGTGATGCACCAGCTTGGACTTAACCTGCTTTGAGAAAGTTCTATCTACATTGTAGAGTCTAATAATCAGAACAAAAGATTTTAGTTTTAATTTGTTTTACATCAAGGATAATATCTATATCCTGTTTCTAGGGTATTCAGTGATATTTTGTTTTTCCTATATCTAGAATTATCTAAAACTAAATACTGGATTATTATATGATAAAAAATCAATATTATGTCAGAATATAAATTATATCAGTTTTTTTTATCAAATCTCTCAAATTTCACAACAAAGATTTTATGTAAGCTCCACAGAAACTATCCAAAGTCACTAAAGATGACTGGATCATACATCTTATCATACATTTTACACAGGCTGTTGATGATGATGGGGAAGACTCAGTCTCAGCCAGTGCAGAGAGTCTTATGGAGGAGGATCAGGCTGACGGATTCCTTGCAACTAGCCCAGTTGTTGACCTGGTGGGAGTCACTGCCACTACAACCACTCCTTGGATCCGAGATGGCTGCACAGCAACCACCACCTCAAGCATTACAAGTAGTTCCAACACTACTGCCACTGCTTCCACCATTAGTACTGCTGGTATTCCGGGTCATAATCTTCCTGGATCTCCAAACTGTACGACTGTCTTACGCCGTGGGAGCTTATCGAGTTCAAAAGCAGGAACAGAAGAGCCTGGAGGTGCAGGAGGAGGCTCAGGGGGAGGAGTAGGAGTACTGTTTGAGTGGTTCACCCAAGGAAGCTTAGTCAAGAGTAAGATATTACCCTTATATTTTAATGTTTATACCAATCTAAATATTTATTTAAACTGTGATATATTTGTAACTTATCATGAAAGTGGCATATGCTACAAAGCTATGATACACTACAAGGAATATAATGATACTGTATGAGATTTTGACTTATAACAGCGCAGACATCAACTGTTCATATCCCCATACACGCATACACACACTCACACATGTACACACACACTCAAACACCCACCCCACCCACCACACCCACCACACCCACACACCCACCCCACACACCCCACACACCCCACACACCCCAACACCCAACACCCCACACACCCCACACACCCCACACACCCCACACACCCACACACCCACACACCCCACACACACACACACACACACACACACACACACACACACACACACACACACACACACACACACACACACACACACACACACACACACACACACACACACACACACAGATGATTAACAGCCAGGAACCTCATTCAGTCTATGTGACATTTAAAAGATTAAAATGTCACTGCTCCCACACAGCCTGTTTCAAGGTTGGCAGCATCCCAGTCAAGCTTATAGGAGAAGGGGTGAAGGAACTATGGTCACTACCAAGGACTTCAATACTCCTCATCATATCTACTTTGCTGCTACTCTTACTCTTTGCATCAGCAGCATTCATGCTTCACAGAGTAGATGTTTTAAGCCAACAACTTGGCTTAGAGAAATATGATGAATAGTAAGTATGAGTTCTTTAATGAGGGTAAGATAATTGATACTCAAAATTAAAGCTGAAGAAACTTTGGTTAATATTGATTTTACGAATAATGGTTTTAAGAGAATGAAAGTGTAAGGTGATAAATGAATTTTGTATGTCAGGTAATTTTTTTATTGTTTTCCTCCTAAATCAGCCCTGAACATGTTGATTTCAGTTGTATCTCTACAAAAAAGACTTGACATGTACTGATACTGATACTATTATCAAAGAAAAGAAAAATGGGTACATGCTATACTTTTTTAATTGAGGCAAAACTACACTTTAGATGTTGATGATGATTGGCTGAGTTCATGTCTGAAAAATGTCACTGTGTTTCAAATAATCTTTATCACATTTCAAATAGTTCTTATCACAACCTTTCACTTTTGAAATAATTATCATGTCCAAGCTGTTACCTACCAGATAATTATCATCACCAACCAATCATCAAATACGATCACCTTTGTCAACTTGTCTGCAGTTATCAACTACCTGTCAAGTGCAGCATAAGTACATTTATCCTAACTTGTCTCTTTACCTATAAAGGACAGACATTTTGATTCTAACAGAACTCTCTAATTTCTTCCCTGCCTTTCAGTAATGGTATGTATGAAGAGGTGCTACAAATGCAACAGAGACTACATGCTGCAGCATCAAGTGAGATTGAAAAAACTTTAAGCATACAATTAAAGCATATAGCTACAGTAAGTAAAATGCTTTTTTCTTTCTTTCTTTCTGTCCCACCTCCCCCCTAAAAAAGAAATGGATCAACATCTTACTGATACATGTTAGTTTGAAAGGAAACCAACATAGAATGCTCTGCTTAACTTTTTGTACAGAATGATCACATCTCATGGGTATATTTTATTGCTACACTAACTGTTTTTCTTTTCTACCAAAAAGGTTCGGCAGTCATTAGAAGCACTGGTGGTTCTTTTCAACAAGGAACCTCCTGTCAGTACAGCACAGATACCAGACAATACGTAACAACAGGTTCAGTGGGGTTGTGGCACCTCAAACTGGATCCCTGGTTACTGGAGTCAGGTTTCCCCTCCACTTATTTTAGAATATCTGAAGGGTTTGATTACCCCTGAAGACAGTGAAGAAAAGAAAATAGGAAAGAAATGTGCTAGATGAAATTCAGTATGATAGCAAAATTTAAAAGATTTATTTTTCTTTGTGTATGTGTAATTGTTCCTCTAATGTAAAAAGTAGTCTTTAAAAGAAGAATGATTGTTTAAATTCTCTTAATTACTAAGGGTATATGCCAGTGATTTCAGTTATTATTGCAGTGTACACCAACAATCAAAAAGATTTACTTTTCACATGCTTGCACATTGATTTTCTGATAATGGGATAGCTGTTCAAGAATCAGGATTTTGATTCTTTGTGAAGATTTTTCCAGGTTTATTTCAGAGGATCTGATATGGAAGTGTTTTATTATCATCACTGAACATTGATATTAAATGGACTACTAATCAAAAAATGTGAGAGATAATCTACACTGCTCAAAGTAAAATGACTTTCCAGTGTGTCAGCTGTCTAGTCAAAGGGTTGTTATATGTCTTACAGAAAAGACAATTATTTATGTACAGCCTTTGTTTATGGGTTAAGGTTAAATAGCTTAAAGGAAAATATATGAAAATGTGACATTGAGACACGCCCTCATAAGATTTATGAAAATGCAGAATTTTTAAATGTTGAGGATATATCTAGTCAATCATTAACTGATGTCTTAACAGCAATTATGGCTTCCAGGCTGAATTAAAGTTTACCTTAATAATGCATGAATGGTTATTCAAGAATATCTACCTTAAAAGTATCTTATTACTGAGAAAAAAAATTTCAGTCCTAGAATTATATGGTTGTGATCTTAGACAACTTAAACATCTTGCTTATCTTATAATATTTGATATTTATATCAAAGTGATATTGGTTCACAGAATCCCATAATTTATTTTTCATAGATGGGTATTATTATACATAACCATCCTATGAATGGCTTTTGCACACAATCCCTCCCAACCTTGATATTGTGGACCAAAGATTGTTAACTATAACCACTAACATGTTTCTATCCTCTAGCATGTGGTATTAGAACCAACATGTTTCCTTCCTGGAGTTTAAATGTTGTGCCTGTTCTGCCTGTTATCAGCAACTGCTCATTGGTCATGCATGTTGTATCTCATTTTCCTTTTTTTTTCAATTTGTCTTTCTTTTTTGTCTGTGTACACTTTTAGCTGTGATATTCAGCTCAAGGGTGAAGCAATAGCTGTACTTAAGCTGTTAAGAACCTGACGATCTCAGCAACCTTCGCTGAAGTTGTTGAAGCAGTGACTAAAGAGTTATGTAACCATATAAAAATCTTTCAGCTATTTTCAATTCTGCTTATACAATTGATTATTATGAAAACAGTGAGGTTGATATTCAGGTACTTTTTAAACTTTTTCCTTTCTTTCTGTTCAGAATGAGTAGTAAACATGGGATTGTGGAACACCATAAATTTTCATGCATATTGTTATGCAAGAGTTTATTCTTGATCAGAAATCTTGGTTCAAAACCTGAAGCTTAATAATGACAAGCATATTTTTAAACAAAATATAATGACAACATATGTATTGTATTCTACCATCTCTGTATATTACTAAACCTATAGAACTGACACATTTCTAATTGAGTTGCCCTTGAAAGTGATTCCAATTTAAGTTCTAGTAATCTTTCTTATGCATTGTTTTGATATGTAAATATGTATAGGATAATAATTGTGTATATAAACAGTGTGTGTGTGTGTGTGTGTGTGTGTGTGTGTGTGTGTGTGTGTGTGTGTGTGTGTGTGTGTGTGTGTGTGTGTGTGTGTGTGTGTGTGTGTGTCTGTGTGTCTGTGTGTCTGTGTGTCTGTGTGTCTGTGTGTCTGTGTGCGTGCGTGCGTGTGTGCGTGTGTATTTAACATATATATATATATATATATATATATATATATATATATATATATATATATATATATATATATATATATATACACACATACATATATATACATATACATATATATATGTATAATATATAAGAATGTGTGTGTGTGTGTGTGTGTGTGTGTGTGTGTGTGTGTGTGTGTGTGTGTGTGTGTGTGTGTGTGTGTGTGTGTGTGTGTGTGTGTGTGTGTGTGTGTGTCTATATATATATATATATATATATATATATATATATATATATATATATATATATATATATATATATATATATATATATATATGCACGTATACACACACATACATACATACATACATAGACACATATTTATGTATGTATGTATGTGTGTAGATATGAATATGTATATGTATATATATGTATATATACATATATATATATATTATATTTGTATATGTATATATATGTATGTATGTGTGTATATATGTGTATGTGTGTGTGTGTATTATATATATATATATATATATATATATATATATATATATATATATATATATATATATATATATATATATATATATATATATGCATATGTGTGTGTGTGTGTGTGTGTGTGTGTGTGTGTGTGTGTGTGTGTGTGTGTGTGTGTGTGTGTGTGTGTGTGTGTGTGTGTGTGTGTGTCTTTGTTTCTGTGTGTTTGTCTCTGTGCATACATGTATATGGCATGTGTTATTAATCTGAGTGATTCATGAAATGAAATGTATATTTATTTATGTAAAGTTTAAGCAGCACTAAGGGTTAACTATGTTATTGTATTAGATATTCTTATTATCTTCATGACCCTTATTTCCTCTAGTTCTAGCACAGCATTTTTATTATGAATTAAATATTCAGGGAATATCTAGTATCTAGTTGCTTAGTTAACTTCATTGTGTTCAAATGTATGGCTAGACCATTGCCAAGTATAATCAATATTTGGTTACTTACCCTGTTCAATTAATGTATTACCACTTGAAAATGAAGCAGTGACTATGCTTGCACTGAATTGTCATTCATGTGAATGTGATGATTATAGTGAAACCTTAATGTAAGGTGATTTTGTGGTTAGCAGGAAGATGTTAAGACCTATACAGCTACAGAAAAATTGTTTATTTTTTCACTGAAACAAGGTGTATTTAAAATATGTATGAAAAACAGATGCATATCTTGGATTTTCTATATACAGAGATGTATATATCTAATGTATTTTATAATTTATGGTTATTCATATGTGATATGCATTTACAAGTCAACATGTGCTCTTTTACCCACACACACACACATTGATATTCACACCCATGCATGGGCACGCTCACACACACTCACACACACACACACACACACACACACACACACACACACACACACACACACACACACACACACACACACACACACACACACACACACACACACACACATATTCAAACTTAAATTGTTTTGCAAATAAGGGATATACCATATATCAGGGTGTTTGAACTGTCCTGATTTAAATTTTACAGCTTGTTCTGATGAGTGTTATGCATTGAAAAATCTGAGCATTAAGGCACATATCCGTGGTTTAAAAATTGATAAAAGTACTTTAGAAAATGATGAAGGTCTTACTAACTTTATACAAATTTCAATCATCCATTTACAACAGATCTGCATGCTTTTTCATAATCATGCAGTAGGTCTCAGACACAAGAACGGTTCCTGTGTGTGTATGTCCTCATGTCTCTTTGAAACACAGCTTTAAGTTGTGAGTCAGAACATTATGAATTATACTGTTTGCATGTACAAGTACATATGCTATATAAATATATTTGATTATTGATATGTGCCCTAAAGTACTTTATAGACATTTCTAAACATAACTTTTTGTACCCTAGAAAACAGTAAGGTGTGAAGTGACTCAGTGAGATGCTTCACTACTAACATGAATATAGGGGAAATAAAGTGGAAATATCCTTTATAAAGATATAAATTCTTTGGCACAATGGAGCACTGTGATTGATATTTCCAGTAAGAGGAATCATGTTACACTGGGTTATTCCAGTTATTACAAAGCCTCCAGCTCCCTCCATGTTCATCGTGCCATAAGTGTGATCCGTGACAGTGAACAGATTGGATAAGTTGTGATAGTTAGCATTCTTTCCTAACACATTCTGGTGCTTGTAGTCTTAGCATGTTACTGTACATCTGAAATGGCCCAAGAGTAGCATTTTTTAGCGTAATATAGCTAAGTGTAAAAATAATGATACTGTAAACTGCAGCCGGCCATTAATAAATTGGTAATCATATGTGATAAATGATTATACTTCTTTAGTGTGAATACAAGACAAATCAGAGAAGTACGACACTTACTTTCTTCCCACTGATAAGTTTAACTGACCATATATACTTATCCTCTTTTTAGAAATGGTCCAGATAATGTCATTCACTGCATATAATTTAATGTAGACACATTTGAATGAACAAGTCAGTTACAGAACCATAATAGATATAGAGAGAGTATCAAAATCCATTAATAATTATATGCATGATTGCTCTTGCCAGAGGCTATCTGTTCATTGATAATCAGCTGTTGGTATTATTTATATTTTCCCCCATTTACTGTCTTTATCTTTAAGGTTCAGTGTCTGCTAATGTGATCTAGTTTTTGAAAGAGCAGTCTGAATATTGACAAACATATAATTGGTATTGTTTTACATTAGAATTGAATATATTGACCTTAATTTTTAAAAGGAAAATCTTTAGGTATATGTGTATATACTTATGCTATATAGCAGGTCTGCTAGCATGAGAAACTGTTGACACTTAATTGTTCTACTACAGCCTGATACCAAATATCATGACTTTATTCATAAGTCAAAATGTATGTTTTGGATACGTTTTATTTTTATTTTATTTTATTTATTTATTTTTTTTATATAACCTGTAGATTATGGAATTTTTCAGTGATGAAAAATAATGTGATATTATATTGTGAGCTAAAGTAAACTGGTAGTTTATTTTTTTTATCTTATAAAAAATGTATTAAAGTCCATCCATGTGAACAGGAAAACAGGTCAAAATATTACCAAATTCTTGGGCTCCCTGCATTGAGCATGCACTATGACTTGTAACTTGACTTATATTCATTGCTGTTTATCTTCAGTCATTAGCACATTTTGATTTTTCTAATGGTTCCCTCACTAAAGCTTTTCACGAAATTGTTTCTTGCACTTGGCGTTTGTTTCCTTTAAAAGAAATTTCCCACTAAATAATGATATCATTAATCATTAATAAGATATTACTGAAAAAGTTAACTATTTGAACAGTCTTACAAAACAATTTTTTGTGTGGTATATAATTGAACTAGAACTCTGAGCTTAGACAACTATATAATGTAAGAACTGTAGATCAATATATCTCTTAATAGCTATGGATGAAAGAGAGTGATTTCTTTATATATTCAGTCTATTCACTTTTTATCTGCAGTAATTCATTGTCATTCTGTATGTACCATCACTACTAGATAATTTTGCTTCTCAGAAATGCATTGAATATTGCTCTTAATAAAGATTCAATAGACAAAGTGTTTTATTCTGTGATCCTTCATTGTCTCTTTAATATTGAATCTGACAAAGTCTACAGATTCTTATTATGATTATTATGGCTGTTACTTAATTTAGTTACTTGAAAAAATACTTAACTTGTTAACTGAAGAAATCTTACTGATGGTTTATGTATATAATGCAGCAAAGACTTTCAGAATGTTTATAACAGGAAATAAGTAGTAAAAGTTACATATAAATATTTAGAATTCTTAGTGAAATGTAAAGTAATGTAATGCACTTCCACCAATTCTCCATTCACCAAAACTGATGCGAGTTGAGGTGAAGCAAGCCAATATGTTAAATAACTTCATTCCCTTTGTATGTCTGAGCCCAGCGACATCTATACCAATGTCCCTTTCTCCTCCTCCACCAGAATTCCTTCTAGGGTACAAATTAAAAAACTTGGGGATTTAAAAAAAAGGAATATATCATATTAACTTTGTCATTTATTGCAAGAAGAAAAGATAAAATATATATTTATATTACATATTTAGAATGTCTTTGGAATGCACAAAGCACCATGAACAATCAGTGAGCATGTAATTCCCTCCTTAGACTGCACAGAATATCAAGATAACCTTATGTTTTTGTTATACTTATAAATTACTACTTGGTCATGCATATCTCATACTCATGTCTCTGTGTTAATCCTTAATACATTTATGCAACTGCATTACAGTCATTCTGACACTGTATACAAATTATTAGTCCTTAGCCTGTTTATATATATATTTTTTTAATAAGAAAATAAATAAATAAATATAAGCAATTATACATCCAATATTATAATTTCTGGGAAAAAAAAACTGATACACAAAAATCTAAAAACTGGTAAACAAAAATCTATGTCAGTATATTAAAACCTCTATTTATCAAATAAATTGGGCCTCAAAAGTATTGTCCTTGTCTCTGCATTATTTCCCTCTCCCTCTCCCTCTCCCTCTCCCTCTCCCTCTCCCTCTCCCTCTCCCTCTCCCTCTCCCTCTCCCTCTCCCTCTCCCTCTCCCTCTCCCTCTCCCTCTCCCTCTCCCTCTCCCTCTCCCTCTCCTTCCTGCATCCTCTCTCTTTTACCATCTTACCCTCTTATCCTCTCACCCTCACTCACTCTCTCACTCTTTTCACTTCTCTTTTACTTTCTCCTCCCTTCATTCTTCCCTTTCTTTCTCTCTTTCTCTCTCTCTCTCTCTCTCTTCTCTCTCTCTCTCTCTCCTCTCTCTCTCTCTCTCTCTCATCTCTCTCTCTCTCTCTCTCTCTCTTCTCTCTCTCTCTCTCTTTACTTCTCTCTCTCTCTCTCTCTCTCTCTTTACTTCTCTCTCTCTCTCTCTCTCTCTTACTTCTCTCTCTCTCTCTCTCTCT